GGAGATCAAGTTTTGGGGGGACACTCAACCCAAGGAACTTGCTTTGCCATGCTTTGAGATTCAGATAAATTAGCACATATGAAAAACTCTCTAGAGTAATATAGTTAGGGTTAAAATAAAATTTATTTTTTAACACATTGCTAAAATCAAGGCTTAATTTGTACAAAGGCTTTATTCTTACGGCCCAATGATAGTGCATTCACTGCCAGAATGTAAGGGGAATATTCAAACTGAACTAGCCTCACCGTGACGAATGCTTAAAACAGTGTGCAGTAAGTAACTTGGAATCAGAGGGCCTGGATTTAACTCCAACAGCTGTACAAACTTGTGGAAGCAAGCGATTTAACCTCTGCAAGTCTGCTTCTATATTTATAAAATAATTGTTGTACATGCATTATGGGATTGTTGTGGAGAGCAAGGAAGCATGCAGAATTGTTTTGAAAACTATAAAATGCTAGAAAATTTATATGATTTAATTATATTGCCTTTAGATTCTACTTTATTCTTGCACCTCCAGTAGGGAAGTATATATTTTGTACCTAAGGATAGATTGTAAGAAACTCCAGGGGAAAATCTCACTACAAATAAGTGCCACATATATGTAAATAAAGATTTACTGGTAAAAACATGTATTTTTCTACAAACCAAAATAAAGAACAAAGGGATAATAACTGTAAGCATAATTGTCTGTTCTTCTCAATTTCTAACAAGACTTTTTTTTTTTTTTTTTTCCTTTTTGTCTTTTTTTTACTGACCGGTAATGGGATCGCAACCCTCGGTGTCGTGCCCGCACCGGGGACCGGCAACGGGATCGCAACCCTCCGTGTTGCGCCTGCACCGCACTCAGCCAGTGAGTGGGAACCGGTCTCCACATGGGACCTGAACCCTCGGTGGGAGCGCCGCACTCTCCAGTGCGCCACCGGGTCGGCCCTAACAAGACTTTTTTTAGTTTGTAATAAGAAAAACATTTTTGAAAAGGTCAGACCTTCATGGTAAAATTCAATCAGGATAAGGTTATTTCAACAGGATTGTCTTCTGACCACTGAAGCCCCCACCCACCTATCCCACATCACCAGTGCCCCAATTTTCCTTTATGAAAGCAACTTGCAATTTTGTATAAAAGAGTGTATATATGTATATCTTTATATATTATTTTAAATATATAAAGTCACAATCCTTAGCATATATTAATTGTTTGCATTTGCCTATTCATAATTGTTTACAGTCTACTAATCATTTTTGGGAAATATGCCTTTGAGAGATACTTCTTTTGAGGGCCATCTGGTTAGTTGTCTCCTTTTTCTGTATTGTAGTTTGGATTAACTACTCCTGAAGCAAAGTATCTATAGTTTTCTCTTTTTTATTTCATGCCATTTTTTACTGTTTTTGCAGTACTCTAGAGCTGCTGATTGATGAGCTGAAGTGAATGGCTCTGAGCTTCTCCCTGCGGTGAGCCCTGAGTGATTTTCCTGTCATTAAATCCTACAGGCTTGTTTATTCAATTGCTCCAAATAAACCTCTTCACACGGAAGTCTGGGAATGATCTTGTTGCTGGGCATTTCAAATGGCCAAATTTACTGACTTATTGATATACATTTTGTTACATAGTAAAACCTGGGGCAGTCACTAATTTACTGTAATGAGCACTGCTTACCTTATGAGCCCATAGTTCCTTAGCTTAAAAAGCTCATGCTCTCTCACTCTTCTACACTTAAACTACAGTATCATAGAAACCTCCAGTCCCTGTTGGCCTCATTTCCTTTCTGCTCAGCCCGAACTCTGTCTTCTGCTACTGAAGGTGCTCTCTCAGAGCACCTAACATCCTAACATCTTCATCCCTTTCTTCCGCTAAAGGAACCCTAGATCAAGCCTATAATCTATCTTTCCTTCTACAATGGGTGGTTGAGCCCTGTGAAATAGTTTCACCTAACTGTAGATTGCCATTAAAAATTCTTGGTTTCCAGTAGAACAAGTCTTTAATCCCATTTGTCAATCCTTTTACCTATAGTATGATTTAGGGTATAGATTTGGCTGGCTGTAATAACAACAAACATGGTTATACCATCATCATAACCATGGCACAAATGAGGGTATGTCAAAAGTTCATGGAAAGATTTGTGTTATCGTTCAATTCTTTTTTTTTTTTTTTAAAGGTGACCGGTAAGGGGATCTTAACCCTTGACTTGGTATTGTCAGCACCATGCTCTCCCAAGTGAGCCAACCAGCCACCCCTATATAGGAATTCAAACCCTTGGCCTTGGCACCATCAGCACCACGCTCTCCCAAGTGATCCAACCAGCCACCCCTATATAGGAATTCAAACCCTTGGCCTTGGCGCCATCAGCACCACGCTCTCCCAAGTGAGCCAACCAGCCACCCCTATATAGGAATTCAAACCCTTGGCCTTGGTGCCATCAGCACCACACTCTCCCAAGTGAGCCACAGGCTGGCCCCTTCAATTCAATTTTTTCCACAAACTTTTTGATGTATCCTGTATATATCTTTTCTTTCATGTAGGAGCCCAAAGACAGGGCATCTCAGCCTAGTATGGTGGCTTGCCTCCTCGAGGCCAGCCAGGGACACGAGTTCCTTCTATCTGGTTGTTCCACTTTCTCCAGTGAATGACCTTTGTTTGGCCCATGGATGATCTGCTGCTTTGTCCACGTTACAGGCAGCAGGATGAAGACAGGAAGTGGAGCTGCTTGCTCCCTTTTTAAGGGCGCTATCTGGACGGTGCACACATCACTTCTGCTTGCTTCCCACTGGTGCAGGTGGCCACACCCAGCTGCAAGGGTGACTGATAAAATCTTTTAAAAAAAAAATAACTAAAACCAGTTCTTTCAAAAAAGTTGGAGTACAAAATATATACTGACAAGTGCAAAAATCATAAATGCATAGTTTGTTTAACTTTCACTAAAATAATGTGCATACATAACCAGCCTCTGGGAAAGAAAGAGTTCCACCAGAACACCAAAAGCCTCCTCATGCCTCCTGATAGGTTCCATCCTGCTCCCACTGGTACCTGCTCTTCTGTGTTCTAACAGCAGAGTATCACTTGCTTTTCTACTTTATATAAGTGGAATCATGCACACATCATTTGTGTCTGGATTCTTTGGCATACGTGAGCATCTGCTATATTGTTGTGTGGCTATATTCCCAACCAAAAATTCTACTACTATGAAAGAAAGGGAAAATAGATATCAGGGGACTATTAGCAGGGTACTGACTACTAGTCAACTTTGTCACTGACTTTACTGTATCTTCCTAATTTTCCTTTTCTAAAGCCCTTTATCACCTCCTGCACCCCATATCAACAGATGACTTCTCTCCCAATTTTGCTGGAAACTGGCAAGTGTGAATTCATGATCTTATTACTACAAACACACCATATCTATATTTATTGTATCTCCTTTCCTCTAGCCTCAAATGAACAGGCACAGCATCACTTTTGCCATATTTTGTTAGATCAGTTATAAGGCTTGCCCAGATTCAAGGGGGGTGGAAAAAGAAAGTCTAGATCTCAGTGGGCCACACTGCATAAGAGCAGGTGGGATAGGTGATACTGTGCAGCAGCTTTGAAAAGTACAGTCTGTCATGCCTAGCCTGAAAGCACTTGCACAGCTTTTTAAAATCATAGTACAGTCATACACCACATTAAAGATGTTTTGTTCAATGACGGACTGCATATACGGTGGTGGTCCCATAAGATTATAACAGCTATACCATATAGCCTAGGTGGTAGGCTATACCACCTAGGTTCGTGTAAGTACACTCTATTATGTTCGCACAATAACCAAATCACCTAATAATGCGTTCTCAGGACATATCCCTGTTATTAAGTGACACATGACTATAATCATATATAGAACTGTGAGATTTAAATTGTTTTAAGCCATGAAATTTTGGGGTGATTTCTTCTACAACAATAAATAACTCTAACATCTATGTTTATCAATTACCTACTGTCACAAGAATGCTTCATAACAAACCACCCCAAGACTCTGTGGCTTACAATCATAAGCACTGATTATTGCTTACAAGTCTACCGGTCAACTGGGTGGTTCTGCAAATCGGGCCAGGCTTGGCTGATTTTGGTTGGTATCAAATATATCTGCAGTCAGCAGTCAGGTTGGCCAGGAGACAGCTCGTCTAGCATAGCCTCATTCACGTGTCTGCCTGTTTGATGGCTATTACCTGGTATCAACAGAGATGACTGAACCACGTGTCTCTTGTTATCCAGCAGGCTAGGGTGGGATTATTACCATGGCAGCTAAGTAGGATTCTAAAAAAAAAAGTGAAAATGCTCCCAAACCTTCATACTTCTACTCAGGGCTGGCATCCTGTTATGTCCTCTGCATTCAATTGACCAAAACAAGTCACAAGGCCATTCCTCCAAATTTAAGTGTTGGTAAATAAACTCAAGCTTAGGGGGTAGGTGAAGCTGCCAAGTCACATGGCAAATGTCACGGGTCCATGAAGAGGTGAAAAATTGGAGAGACACTGCAATTTATGTACCCCAAATAAGTAAAAACCCTGTTGCTTTACTGATAGTTTTATAAAGTAAAAAGCTTTCTGAAGTGGCAGACAATAATTAAATTGTGTTGAATAACTGTCCTATTCCTATCCAAATTCATGAATGGGTAGCTACCTTATTCTAAAAAATATCCTGAGGAAAAGATGCTGAAACTCTCAATTATCCACTCCAGGGTTTGGCCACTATTAATCATCACAAAGTCCTTATATATATTCAGTCCCTTTTCTTTTCATTCATCTCTCACCAGCCTATTACTTTCCCTCCTTTCCTATTTCTCTTTTTCCATCTGAAGAAGGATAACTGATTTTTTTTTTTTGCCATGAAAGTTAACTTAAGCTCTCAGGATTCAATAAAGTTCCCAGCACCATAAGTATGAGAACAACTTAACAGTTAAGGACAAGTAGTAAATGAATTCCTCTGCATCCAGTGAGAAGCACTGAAGCATAGAATAAAGAAATCAGAAAACTCAAAGATCAACAACTGGACTTTAATGAACAATTTTGGTAAAAGCATTTTTGCACAGATATGTAGGTATAAAATACACACAAAAAATTAACAAAAACATTCTTTCTCTCCATAAGTACTTCTCAGAATAGCCATGACTAAGTTTAACCTCACAAATACTTCAGAACTTAAAAACAAAACAACTAACAAATTTTTGCAGAGTTAAACTTGAGACACCTACGTTTATTAATCTTAACATTGGATAAATGCTCTTTACATTTGATTTGTTTCCCTTATTGGTAGGTTTGCCTTTTTAAAGTATTCCTAGGAGAAAACACAAGGAAAAAAGTATCCAGATTACCCATCACTCTTGAACATTATTTAGGAATAACACAGTCTTAATTTAATTTTGAAAAACAATGACAAAATGCTGGAGTGTTTCTCTTATTTTGGGGATCTCCTTTTTGAAAAGGATCTCTTTTTCATATTCTTTAATTAAAATGAGTATAAGAAAAATAACTTTGTCCTGGCATTGGTAGGTTGAGATCTATACTGCTCACAAATTCAACACATGAAAGTATCTGCTTTAAAAAAAATCAACACTAATACTCAACATGAAATACAGAAGCCAACTTTAGGAGATGCATTCATTTAGTGTACTTAGCTAATCCCTCTCTTGGGTTTTACCAGCACATCTGTGAAAAGAGATGCACATCCTAATTTCATAGATATTAAACAATGACCACTTTCCTTACAGACATAAGATATGCTTACCTCTTTGACAGCTCCCACCTTAACTGCAAAGAAAGGTTATTAGGAGAATCCAATTCTAGGTGCCCCGACTATGTGATACCACCACAAGTAGCTATCAGTGTTTCTTAAGAGGAGTATTATTGGCATTGTGGATAAGATAATCCGTAGTTGTGTGGGACTATCCCAGACACTGCAGAACACTTAGCATTCCTGGCCAACTCACTAAAAACAAGCAGTTTTCAAGGTCATTATGACTACCAACGACATAGCCATACATTTTCAACTGCTCTTTGATGAGAACCACTGAGCAAAATGATTCAAGATTCATATTTATTAACTTCATGACTTCCATAGAAAGTAACTGCTTCATTACCTTCAGTAACAATGACTGAAGAGGAAAATATTTTAAGAAAACACTGTAATTAAATGTTATTTTGGAAAGATGAGCTGCTTTCTTCAAACTCATGGTGATCTGAAAGGATTAGATGCACAAAGTGCAATACTTATTTATCCCCAAATGCACACATACATTTACAGGAAAATGTTTATATTCTACTGGCATATCATACCCCCTTTATCTTTCTTTAGTATAAAAATATGTTCATCTATTACAATAAGATAAAAAACATGTAGATGTTCTTCATACGTTCCCTCACATCGATGCTCCTGGAAACTGCTGCTGTCTTTGCTCCAAAACTTGCTGATTTAACAGTTGTTGCTGTTTCTGCAAAAACTGCACTACTTCTGGACTTCTTAGTAATGACTTAAAAAGAAAAAAAAGTATTATTAATAGCATTGTTCTTATGTAATTAGACTATATTCATGCTATGGTATTAGTGATGTGACCCTATACAAGACACAATATGCTTAGAAAGCAAAACATGCCTGAACTGAATCCACTTTTGCATCTGATGCACTGCAATTAAGCTGCAAACTAATGATCAAATTTGAGGTCATGTACCAAAATACCAAAACCTAAATATAATGGATGAAGCTTGATTTTATTGGTGACTTTACAGACAGAGGAAATGCTTTCTGTGATATGCCAGCAAATATTTTCTCTTGAAACATATGAGAACAAATAGCCAAGAACAGCAGTGGTTCAAGATTAGAGCAAGAAAAAAAAAAAAAAGGAAATGAAAGGAAGCCACAGGTGAAATTGGCAGTTAAATGCCAGTTTGAAAATACATATAAACTAGTACTGGAATTCAAGTTTTTCTCACTAGCTGACTAAGTCTTCATGAAGAAGTTAAAAATTATTTTTGTGTGCGCATATGTACGCAGGTATATATATATAAATAGGAGTAATTAGCACATTACCAAAATTTCAGAAAGAATACAATCACTCTAAACCAATACAGTTTTGTACATTTACAATTTTTAAATATAGTTGTAACCATATAACAAATATAATAGACTATGGTTAACATGTTTTTATTATAATAAAATACTTATATAGATTGATAAAGAAAAAAACCTTGGCCCCAATAAGTTGAAAAAGATAACCCAAATAAAGTAGAAACACTACCATTAAATACTGATTTTAAGATTATATATATAATATTATAGTACATTTCTATTTATTAAATAATTTTGTTTAAAAATTGTAAAGGCTTCCCAACCTTCTATTAAGTAAATGTACAATAATCTACTTAGCTTATGAGACATTTAGGTTGTTTCAACACTACTTTACTATTTATGATAAATACATTTCTGGCAATATCTTTATGCTTAACTTTTTCCATATTTAGAATTTACTTTCTGTGAATGCCTTCACATTAAGTGTGATTTCTGAGTCAAAAGAGAAGACCATTTTAATGACTCCTGACACATACTGCCCAACTGCTCTCTAAAAGTGCTGTACCAATAGATGACACCATCAACAGAATGAGACTTCCATTTCATGGAACCGTCAACATCACTGTGAGTAATCATTTAAATAATTTTCACTTACTAAAGGTTATTGTGTATTGTGTCATGTTTACTGATATTGGATACCTTTCCATATCATGTAATGGTAGTATTTCTGCTTTTTTTTCTGTTTATATCTTTTGCAATGTATTGAGGCCAAAGTTTTTCTCTCATCAAATCATATCAATGTTTTATATAATAACAACATCAACCATATTAACCATCCTCTTTTATATTTGTTGCAAATATTTTTCATACATTATTTTGCATGACTATCTCATTCATTTTTACAAAGTCAAATTTATAATATTTTCTTTGTGATTTTATCTATGTCTTTAAAGCTGAAAAATCTCATTCCAGATTAAGATAAAGTTCTAATTCTTTTTATTAAATTTTAAGACTCTTTATCAAAATTTATTTTGATGGGGCTGACCCCATGGCTCACTCAGGAGAGTGCGGCGCTGGGAGCACAGCGGGTGCTGGGAGCGCCGAGGCTGCAGGTTCGGATCCTATATAGGGATGGCCGGTGTGCTCACTGGCTGAGCGTGGTGTGGGAGACACCAAGCCAAGGGTTACGGTCCCTTTACCGGTCACAAAAAAAAAAAAAAAAAAAAAATTTATTTTGATGTATAGTGTCATGTAAGGACCCAAATTCTTTTTTGCCCTCAAATTTATTATCCATTTATTCTGGTATATATTGAACAATCTCTCCTTTCCTGATTGAGTTCTGATGCCTATCAAATTTATGATAGAGATCCTTATTAAATATTGGTCTAATTGTACTTCACCACCATCAAAGTATTATTCCATAAACCCCAGAATTCAGTACAAGGACAGTCTTTTTAAAAATCTCATCTTGCTCAGATATCCAAGAGATAGTCAATAAAAAAAATCAGATTAAAAGTATTCCTGCACTATAGTCTTGGGTGAGCACATGTGAGATTCCAGTGTGTACTGGCAAAGAGGCACAATTCAGTTCTGATGACCAGTTTAACAAGTTTTAAAATCTCAAAAATAGTTCCATTTATAACAACTTTGGTTAATAGATTTGTAACTACTTTACAAAAAGATATTTACCAGTCTTTTTTGATTTAACACTTGTTCTAAAAGAGTAGGTTTTGCAGGACGATCCCCAAAAGATCCTGTTGTTCTTTGTTTAACGATGGAGAGGATGTTATCTGCACTTTCCTGTGATAAATGATAAAAATACAAATAGGATTAACAGTTAACATAATATAACTATCCATGATTACAGGCACTTCAATGCCGTAATGAATAGTCTGAACTTTTCTTCCTTCTTCTTGCCTAGTCCCTGTCAAACGTTGGGAAAGCCCCTTGTCATAGGCCAGGTGCTGGCAGTTAATTTTATGTAACAATCCTCCTCACCCCCTCTTCCCCCAAGATTTCCAACCGGGTTCTTCAGTCTCTTGAAGGGTCTCAAAATTAACAGTGGGCAGAGGTGGGAGAAGAAGGGGTGAAAGAATTACTTGTGTGCTATTTCCAATATTACAAAAAATGCCAAGTAGAATTGAACATTCTCTTCATGTAAAGCTACCCAGGCCAAAACAGTCTCCCTGCTTTCGGATGGAATATATGAACTCAGAGGCAATAATAAATTGCTAATGAGACACTCTAATTGATAGTTTTTTGACCAATTGACAATCAAAAAAACAAATGTGGTGGGGGACGGTGCAGTAAAATACCGCTTAAAGAAGCAAGTGGTAAATGAATCTCTCAAAATGTGGAAGTCACTAAGAGAACAATGATAAACTGGCTTACACAGGCCAGAAAACACTGGTATAAACAGTCCACTGTCACCAGTGTAAACAAAACAGGTAATACCTAAAATGATACCATTACCCTGAGACATCATACTCAAACCAAATCAATAGCACTTACTACCAAATATGTATTGTCAGTTACCTGAATCTTAAACACTTTCAATTTTCCTGTCATAAGAAAATATTGTTTGGTTAACTGAAACATTCTGACTCTCATAAAACCATGATACCATACTGACCTCATCCAAAAATTCTTACTAAACAAATGTTTTACCATGAAGCCATGCCTTATATGAATTTGATCTCTTTGCTCTTTACTTAGGATATTATCTAAGCTGTTGTTTCTCTTGGCCTTCTCTCTACTGGCCTCTGAGTTGTCTATGAGAATATCACCTTTACCCCTTTCATTATGAAGTTTACAACCTGACGTTACAAAAATGTTCCATCCTTAAACATTGTAGGCCTCAAAATGTAAAAACTGTAAAAGAGGATCCTAATAGAGAGGAAAAAAATAAGTTTTTCCTTCTTCCCACTCCATGGTTAACTTTATTTATGGGACTGTTTCATTTTTATGGGCACAATGCGTGGAATGCTGAAATTGACTTGATGGCACAGCACCCTCAAGCCTCACAACCGCAGACAAAGCACTATGTAGATTCAGAATGCTAATAAAAATGATAGAAGCCTGTAGTAGAAATAACCTTTAGTTATTTAGTCCAAACTTCTACAAATGTTGGAATTCTCTTTTAAAAAATTTTCAACACTTGCTTTTTGACCTAAGGAAATGATCAACTTTTGAAGCACTTCATTTAGTTTTGAATAGCTCTAACATATAGGTAGCTTTTACTTAAGCTGAAATACATAGCCCTTGTGATTTTTGCCTAATAGTCCTAGTTACTTCAGAACTATTCAACATAAATCTACAGGTCATTCCAAATGACAGCCTTTTAGATATGTAATGATAATGATCCCAATCCATACAAGTCAATTCTTTTATCCCTAGTCCCTTTAATGAGTCCCTGATATAGCACAATTCTTACAGACATGGACTAGATATTATGTACACTTCTTCCTTCTTTAATCTTGATTTGTGTAAGAAATACTGATTTTAAATACCATAATTCCTAATCTTGCTTCTCATACCATGGCAGAATATCCCCACCATTACCTATCAGACCTACTATAATCATCTCCTAGAAAGTCTCAAAATCTACAGGCCCTCAACTTTAATTAGCTCCATCAGAGTAGAATTCCCTGTTACTCCCTAATTAGAAAACTTCATTTAAAGACTCCAAACCAAAATCCTAGAGCCTGGCTTTCAATACCACACAAAAATTGGCTTCAACTTGTCTTTCCAAATTTATCTTTCATGAATTTTCCATACAAGTATTCCATTTTTATCTGCAATAGTCCACTTGCTATCTTCACAAAAGTTTTTTCTGTATTCCCACTTCCCTTTCATTACTAAAATGTGCTTCTCTATCGTTTTACCAACCAAAATTCTAGGGAAGCTGTGTACTGTACTGTGGGGATAAAAGTGAAGGCTCTAAAATCAAACTGCTTTGCATGTGAGTACTTGCTGACTGTATGACCTAGGCCAAGTTACTTAACCTCTGCCTCAGTTTCCATGTACATAAAACACAGTACCTATCTCATTGCTGATGGGTTGTGAGACTCCATTTACAGCTTACCACAGTGTCTGGCAAATAAGAAACTTAGCTGATTAAGCATAAACTATTAGCCATTCTTTCTGGCTTATTCCAAGTTAAATTTCCTTTGCAAAGCCTTTCCAGAACATGTCAGCCTACAAGATATGTTCTTCTCTGAACTACTAAAACAGTACTATATAGTTAGCCCTTATTATATCCTGACTGGCACTGTTAGTCATTTTCTTTACACTTAGTTCAAAAGATAAAAACTTATAGCTCTTACAACCTCCTCAGAACTGGTAAAGTGTCCCACAATGTAAGACAAATAGTATAGTAGGTTATTACTTATTGCTTATAACAATTAACTCTCTTCCCTAAAAAATCATGCAAATTATTTAAAAATAGTAAAATTATTTAAGTTCTTTTCATGTGGGGGGGATGGAGAGGGAGACTCTAATTCAGTATCTATCTGCCTTTTGTACATTTTCCTCAAACTGTAGATGTATATGGTGTGTGATTAAAAAAAATGAAAGTAGCCACAGGTAAAATACTTCTTTCTTAAAAGATTATCTTCTCTCAAGAATTCTGAAATGAATAGGTACCTTTGAAACATACTGAGGGACAAACCTGATCACCTTTACTAATTTTCATTCTGTACTGAGATGTTTATTTCCATAAATCCTGTAATCCAAGATTTGGTAAAATGTATTACAGTCATGTGCCACATAATGACAATGTGGTCAACCATGGACCGCATATATCATGGTGGTCCACAAGATTATATGGAGCTGAAAGATACCTGTCATGTAGTGACAGACATCACAGTGTAATCTCACATCACAATGCATTTTTCTCATGTTTGCAGTAATGCTGGTATAAAGAAACCTATTGCACTGCTAATCATATGAAAGAATAGCATAGCCAAGCACAGAAAGAGAAATACTGCATGTCCTTACTTATAAGTGGGAGAAGAAAAGAAAAGGAAAGAAAAGGAAGGAAAGAAAGAAAGAAGGAAAGAAAGAAGAAAGGAAGGGAAGAAAGAAAGGGCAATCACAATAATATGCTGAACTTTCAAAAGAAGAGCTCAGAACTGAGGTAACCAGATGTGGGAAAGGGGGAGGGTGGTAAAGGGGGAATTGATAAGGGGTTCAAGAAATCAATTAAATTGTGTAACACTCAATATACTAATTATCCTGATTTGGACATAACATATTGCACACAGGTATTGATATTCAATGCTGTACCCCACGGATATGTACAATTATGTTCCAATAATTAATAAATAAATATAAAAATTAAAAACATTGAATATAAAAAATAAAAACAGTTAAGAACCTGTGCAAAGAAAAAACTAATGTATTATAATTTGAAAATATATGTATTTTATCAATAAAGACTTTTAGTACTCAAAAAAAGTATAGTACATACAATTATATACAGTACATAATAATAATGGTAATAAATGATTCTATTACTGGTTTAAGTATTTACTATACTTTTAATTGTTATTTTACAGTACACTTCTACTTATTTTTTTTTTAAGTTAACTGTAAAATAGTGTTTAGTAAGTCCTTAAGGGGGTATTCTAGGAGGCACTGTAATCACAGGAGATGACAGCTCCATGCATGTTATTGCCCCTGAAGACCTTCCAGGGGGACAAAGTGTGGAGGTGGAAGACAGTGATACTGATTACCTGACCCTGTGTAGGCCTAGGCTAATGTGTATATTTGTGACTTCATTTTTTAAAAAAAGTTGAAAGAGTAAAAATAAATAAATTTTGAAATGGAAAAAATTTTATAGAATAAGGATTAAAGAAAGAATATTTTTGTTACAGCTGTACAATGTGTTTGTGTTTTAAGCTAAATATTATTACAAAAGAGTCAAAAAGTTTTTAAAAAATTCAAAAGTTTATAAAGTAAAAAAAGTTACAGTAAACTAATGTTAATTTATTATGGAAAAAAGAAAAAAATTTTAGTAAATGTAGTGTAGCCTAAGTGTATAGTGTTTCTAAGGTCTGCAGTGTGTGCAGTAATGTCCTAGATCTTCACACTCATCACTCACTTGCTGACTCACCCAGAGCAATTTCCAGTCCTGCAAGCTCCATTCATGTAAGTGCCCTATATGGGTATACAGCTTTTTATCTCTTATAGTATATTTTTACTATAGCTTTTCTATGTTTAGGTATGTTTGTTTAGATATACATATACTTACCATCATGTCACAATTGCCTACAGTGTTTAGTACAGTACCATGCTGTACAGGTTTGCAGCCAAAAAGCAATAAGCTTGCATAAATAAACTCTATGATTCTGCAACAAAATCAACTAACAATGCTTTTCCCAGAATGTATCCCTGTTATTAAGCAATGCATGACTGTACGAGGGTACTTCAAAAAGTTCATGGAAAAATAAAATTAAAAGATAATACTTCTATGAACTTTTTGAAAACCCCTCATAGTTTACAAGGATATGGATTAAGGGGTTCTTGACCTAAGGTTACAGGAGTTCCGAACCTCTGAATTAATTTATACAAAATTAAACACCTACATATGTGCATTTTTCTAGGAAGAGTATTAGATTTAATCAGATTCTCAGAGGAGTCCTTTTACTCCCAATAGATTAAGATTCAATGGGATAAAAAGGGAAAGAGAATTCATTCCATACCCTATCCAGTATAAAGTTAAGTGTGACATGTTGGTGACAGTAGATTTTTAGAAATATTTAGAACTCTACATTTGTAAATAATTACAAAATCTAAAATTTTACCAATGGAGTAGTTAAGTTCAGCCTGAAAATAAAAAATTTAGACTTTCAGAATACATCATAGAACAGTTTTCAGGTNATTGGGAGTAAAAGGACTCCTCTGAGAATCTGATTAAATCTAATACTCTTCCTAGAAAAATGCACATATGTAGGTGTTTAATTTTGTATAAATTAATTCAGAGGTTCGGAACTCCTGTAACCTTAGGTCAAGAACCCCTTAATCCATATCCTTGTAAACTATGAGGGGTTTTCAAAAAGTTCATGGAAAAATAAAATTAAAAGATAATACTTCTATGAACTTTTTGAAAACCCCTCATAGTTTACAAGGATATGGATTAAGGGGTTCTTGACCTAAGGTTACAGGAGTTCCGAACCTCTGAATTAATGTATACAAAATTAAACACCTACATATGTGCATTTTTCTAGGAAGAGTATTAGATTTAATCAGATTCTCAGAGGAGTCCTTTTACTCCCAATAGATTAAGATTCAATGGGATAAAAAGGGAAAGAGAATTCATTCCATACCCTATCCAGTATAAAGTTAAGTGTGACATGTTGGTGAGAGTAGATTTTTAGAAATATTTAGAACTCTACATTTGTAAACAATTACAAAATCTAAAATTTTACCAATGGAGTAGTTAAGTTCAGCCTGAAAATAAAAAATTTAGACTTTCAGAATACATCATAGAACAGTTTTCAGGTTGAAAAATTATTTTCTGGATCACTTTTAACAGAATTCAGTTGTTCTCTGCACTGAGGGACTAAAGCTCACACAAGAGGAAATACCTGCTTATCTGTAACAACCTCAAAGTATACTGCCAACAATGACAATAATAATAGCTAAGATATATTGACTCTTACTCTGCTGGACACTGTGTTAATTAACACTCAGTATGAAATATCTCACACATTCGCAGCAACACTATGAAGGAGGTACCATTTTAATGCCCATTTTACAGATGAAGATGAGGCTTGAGAGTTTAACAACCTGTTCAAGGCCACACAGCCACCAAATGAGGAAGTGGGAATTTGCAGCCAGAAGTCCAATTCCAGAGCACTGGCTTTAACCTTCAACACATTTCAAATCAAACAATCCAAAAGTCTTCTAAGACTTACACCCCATTATCATTCAATTTTTTTCCCCTCAGTGGTACTAAGAAAAGGGGTAGTGAGAACAGGGTACTGAGAACATGGTACTAAGAACTGAGGAACTGAAGAAACGGTTGTAAGTACAGGGCACTAAGTACAGGGGTACTGCAAACAGTCTGAGAACAGCGGTAATTAATAAGGACAGGGTACTAAGAATATGGTTAACTGAGAACTGGACGCCAAAAACAGAGTACTAAAGTAAGACAGTATTAAGAACAGAGATATTGAACAGGACACTGAGAATAGAGTCCTGAAAACAGGAAGAGATTACTTTCTCCAAACTACCAACTTCATCTAGGTTCCTAAGTCTCATTCTTTAGCGGTGAACCAGATCAATCATTTACTTTCTGTCCTTCCAGCCCATATCCCGGATCTTTGAAATGACAGCTGTCCTGTGTCACATCATTTTCACTGAAATTTATTCACCTATCACATGGGTGCAGCAGACTTGTTAAGGCACATGTTCGCATGAACTTTGACTTAGGGCCGGTACTCATGACCTCTCAGCCACTAGCCCAGCCACGGCAACCCCGCCCCTTGGAGAGCGGATGGGCAGGCCCTGGAAATGAGGTTTGCAGCAAGATGGGGTTTCTTCTTCCACCTCCCACCCCCCAAGGCTTAAGGTTTGCTACCTCCAGTTTGACATTTCCCGCGCTGCCGGCCGAGGCGGCCCCAGCACAGTTCAGGGCCTGGTCGCTCTTCTTCTTTTTGTACTTGTCCTTGTACATCTTGTTGCGGTGTTTCTTGCACATCCACGGCTTGCGCTGCTTGGCCACCTGGCTCGTGGTCTCGCTGCAGCCCTCGTAGGTGCAGGTCTTGCTCATGCTGCCCCCGCCGCCGCCCCGCCTGCGGGCTCCCCCGCCGCCGCCCTCGCCCCCCGAGTGCGTCTCCTCGTCCTCCAGATCCTCCAAACTAGCCGTGCTCTCGCCTCCCCCCGGGGGGTCCGAAGTGTCCAACAGGTCCGCTTCGTCCTCCCCCGCCTCCTCCTCGCCATCCCCCGCCACTTCGCACAGGTACCCAACGGGCTTGCCCGCCCCGATGCTGCCCCCCAGGGCCGGGGCCTGCCTCAGGACGCCCTCGGCCGCAGCGTCGTCCTGCCCCGCACAGGGGTGCATCACCAGCAGCGTGAACTGCGAGGCCGGGGCCGCCACAGGAGCCG